TTATTGAATCTCTGGCTTTTGAAAATGCCAACTTAGAATGCAAAAAGACACTTGGGCCTTTAAATCTTAGATCAGCATCAATGGATAAATGGGTCCTGCATAATTGTACATTGAGAAATTTGACTATAATACTGAGGCTTGGGTAGGAGAAGCAATTTCCAAAGGTATACAGAGATGTCAAAATGCCAAATGTTTTAATTGTGGTAGAATAAGACATCTGAGAAGGGATTGTAGATAAGGAATTAATAGAAATAATCCCCCCCCCCGGGAATGGCAAAAATAAAAGTTATCAGTATTCTGGATTATGTTGGAGGTGTTACAAAGGCTGACATTGGACCAATAAATACAGATCAACAAAAGACAGGAAAGGCAACCCAGTAACATCAGGAAACTCCTTGGGGGGCCTCTCACGAGCCTCCAAGTCAAAAGTGGTCTAGTCATTCCCAGTCACTGTGGAGGACAAGTCTCACTGGGAAAATTAAAAAATCCATTGCCTGCTGTAAAAAACCATACTGTTGTGGATGATAGAATAAACATGGAGGATGAATCAAAAATTCCAATAAGAAATAGGAAGCACATTTTTTTGGCAGACTTCTATAAATATTCAAAGACCAAAGCTAAGAGTGTGTATAAGTAACATTGTAATGGAGGGAATACTAGATATGGATGCAGACTTGAGCATCATTACTCCAGAATCTTGACATCTGAATTGGCATATTCAAGAGGCAGATGTTCAATATCTAGGAATTGGAACCCTATGTCAAGTGAAACAAAGCATGAGATGGGTTGAATGCATAGGGCCAGGAGGACAGAGAAAAAGGCTGAGGGCAGATGTTGCTAATATCATAGTGAATTTATGGGGTTGTGACCTGCTGCAGCAATGGAATACCCAGATCAATATTCCTGCAGTCCCAGAAACTCATGCTTTTGGGAAGGATATTATAAGGTACTATGCACAAATGTTACTATCCATTCAGGCTGTACAAGTACACAAAGCAACTAGCAAACCTTCAGAGGTACTAACGGCCCTGCTTTTGAATGGGTAACAGAGAAATCAATATGGGTTAAACAATAGCCTCTAACTGAAGAAAAGCTGCAGGACTTAGAACAGCAGGTACAGGAACAACTAGATGTTCACCATATTGAAGAATCAACCAGCCCCCATAATTCTCCTATATTTGTTGTTAAAAAGAAATCTGGAAAATGGAGAATGGTGACAGATCTAAGAGCTATTAACAATGTTATTCAACCTATGGACCCTCTACAATCTGGAATTCCTCTTCCTTCTCTGTGACCAAACAGATAGCCTCTCATAGTTATTGATTTCAAAGATTGTTTCTTCATTATAACTTTACAAGAAAAAGACAGAGAAAAATTTTACTTCACAGTGCCTTCTTATAATAATTCTCAGCCTATTGGGAGATACCAGTGGACAATCCTCCCACAGGGAATGCTCAATATCCCCACCCTGTGCCAATAGTTTGTAAGTCAGCCACTGGAAATAATACATAAGCTGTTTCCTAATTATAATTCACCATTACATAGATGTCATTTTGCTATCTGATTCAAATGCAGATACTTTAGAAAGAGTGTTTGAAGAAGTAAAGAAAGTTTTGTCTAGATGGGAATTACAAATTGCTCCTTAAAAACCACAAAGAGGAGATTCTGTCAGTTACCTAGGTTACAAAATAAGTTTATGGAAAATTACAACACAAAAGGTACAAATTAGGAGAGACTGACTGCAAACTCTTAATGAATTTCAAGGATTGTTAGGAGACATTTCCGGTCTATGACTGGCTGTTGGGATAACACCTGATCTAATAATTCATTTAAACAAAACTTTAAAAAAGACTTAAAAATTCCCAGGAAATTAACAGCTGAAGCTGAAAAGGAATTGACTATCATTGAAAAGAAATTACAGGAGGCACATGTAGATAGGGTGAATCCAAATCCTAATTGCATTCCAGGCATATTGCCTTTCAGAATTTCCCCTACAAGAATTTTAATGCAGAGGGAAAATATTATCTTGAAGGGATCTTTTTACCATACAAACCAAGTAAAAAATTAAAATTTTATGTGGAAAATGTCTCTGAATTAATTATAAAAGGAAAATTTAGACTTTGTCAATTAGCAGGAATAGACCAGCAGAGATTATAGTGACCTTTACTACTAATGAAATTTAAAAAATTATGGGAAGATAATGAAGCATGGTGAGGAGCTTGGTCTAATTTTTTAGGAGAGATTAACAGCAATTATCCCAAAAGTTATACAATTAACCTTATAAAGAAAACTTCATGTATCCTTCCCAGCATTCTTCGTGACACACCAATAACTGGAATCCATACATTCTATACTGATTCACATAAATTAGAAAAGGCAGGTTACAATTCAGAAGATTTAAGTAAGGTGGAACAGAGTCTTTAAAATTCTGTTTAAAAGCAGAGCTATATGCTGTTTTCATGATACTAAAGGACCTCTCAATATAGTTACTGATTTGCAATATGCAGAAAGAGTTGTCTTGCATATTGAAACCACTGAATTTATACCAGATGATACAGAATTGAGTACATTATTCATACTCTTTCAAGATACATTCAGGAATATGCTTTGTTTCTTATACATAACATATATTTGATCCCATACTGGTCTGCCAGGTCCTGTAGCAAAAGGTAATGCAGAAATTGAGTCATTATTGAAAATATGCTGAAGGCCTCAGAATTACTCAAAAAACATCATGTCAATAGCAAAGGTATATAGAGTTTCCTATTACATAGCAACAAGCTAAGGAGATTATAAAGAGATATCCTACTTCCTCTTTCTATAACCAAACACCACTACCTGCAGGGAGTAATCCAAAAGGTACTCAAAGGAATGAAATCCGGCCAATGGATGTGTTCTACTTTGCACATTTTGGAAAATTAAAATATGTACATCACACCATTGACACTGATTCAGATTTTCAATGAGCAACTGCTTTGAGTTTAGAAAAGGCTGATTCAGTAATCACACATTTATTAGAGGTTATGGCCATCATGTGTATATCTGCACAAATAAAGACAGGCAATGGTCAAGAATATGTGTCTGAGAAAATGAAACAGTTTTTGCTTATTATAATATACAGCATACTACAGGTATACCAAATAATCCTACAGGTTAGGCAGTTATAGAGTGTTTAAATCAAACTATAAAGGATATGTTAAACAAGCAGAAAGGAATGGAAAATGCCCCCAGAAATGATTGCATAATGCTTTATTAATCTTGAATTTTCTTAACACTAATGAGAAAGGAACAGCAGCAGAGAGAAAATGGTAAGCAGATAGAATGTGTTGTGTGCACAGTTGGATGGAGTTCCACAATAAAAGGAAACAAAAGCATTATGTAAAGTGACATAGCCAGTCACAAAACTTTCTACTTATATTTCATTGGTGACAAGCCCCAATATAGCAAGATAAAGCAATGTCTTGGTTACAGTGGTCAAAGGTAGTGAATGATAGCAAGGCACCCAAGGAAAGCTGATGGGGCGTGAGGGCTGTTTTGAATATAATGTGGTGGCACTTGCAAGCCTTGAGACTATTTTCAGACTAACTAAACCATAAATATCTAAGAGTCTGATTGCATTTACAGTCCACAGTGGTCTAATGCTATAGTCCATGGATAGAGAACTTACCTAACACGCACAAGCCCTAAAATCAAATCCTAACCCCATGAAGCAATCTACACTCAAGCCACTAAAATGAGGTAAATATCAAAAGTCTAGAACAGATTCTGGCTCCAGTTGGAAGTTTATTGTGTGTGTGCAGAACTGAAAAGCAGAAACAAGCTAGCAGCAGGAACATCAATAAATGTTCTACACATAGAATGGAAACAACCTGCATGGTCAGTCTCACTAACAGGAAAATCTTCCCTGTCCCCAGTTCAAGTCAGCAGAGACTTAACATTGTCCTTGGAACGTCATTGTTTACAAATTCTACCAGCAGAGGACACAAGATATAATCATGGAGACCTCTAGCCAGAGACCTGTATCTCACCACACAGAAAATTTGTGGAGGTCTGAGTCCTGGATTTCTCAGTCTACAACAGGTTTATTTGTTACCATTTGTAAATTACTGAGATTTGTTGTCTGAGGTTTCTGTCCTGCCCAGTTCCCACAATCCTTAAATCCCAAAGAAATCACACAGAGCTCTACATTAGTTATAAACTGATTGGTCCATTATCTCAGGCTTCTTATTAACTCTTATAATTTATATTAGCCCATTATTCTTGTCTATGTTAGCCACGTGGCTCACTCAGTACCTTACTCAGTAGGGCAGTCACATCTTACTTTTTCTGTGGCTGGGTAAGGACTGCGGACTAGCTCTTCCCAGAATTCTTCTGTTCTCATTGACCCACCTCTACTTCCTGTCTGGTTGTCCTGCCTATACTCCCTGCCTGGCTACTGGCCAATCAGTGTTTATTTAAAATATAATTGACATAATACAGGCCATTGTCCCACACCAGAGATTATAATTTTCTTGCTTTGTTTCTGAGATATGAGACTTGTTATCTTACCATGGGCTTATGTAATTCTTTTTTTTTAATTTTTATTTTTACTCAAAAATTTCAACCTCCTCCCATTTCCCTTCCCCTCCTCCCTCCCCCTCCCAGGCTTATGTAATTCTCCATTCTCAGTGTGCAGACATCTGAGGTCACAGACGCTAAGAGCTGAATTTATAGTTTATGATTTTTTTTAGGAACAGCATTACACACTAATGAAGTTAATGGATTTTGGGAAATCAGATTTGCTATTGGCAACTTAGAAGTACGAGGAAACATAAACTAGTTGAGAGAGGACAAGGGATTTCCTGAAGTCAACAGTGCCTGAAGCTTCTGCTTCATTTGAAGAGGGTCTGAGGCTTGGAGATGAGGAGAATGAAAATGAGGGGAAGATGATGGGAGGAAGAAAGGAAGGAGAGAGCCTAAAAGAGTGAAGTGTTAAAGAAGATGAGGGGAACACACATCCATATGGTTGTGAGATCATTTATTGAGTCTAATAAAATGTGTCCAGAAGTATGAGTACCATACAGAGGGTTTGTCATACACAATGAAAGAGCAAATACTGAGGTTAAAAATGCTTGTGTGAGTGTTGGATCAAATAAAGAAAAATAAATGCACTTTTTAATCTCAGGATGTCCACATCTTCCCTCAACTCCACCATCTTTTCTGTGACTGGCACTAAAGTTCTACATGGTTGACCTGAGCCCCCTTTAGCTCCTGGATCTTCTGGGGCAGAGTCTTTGTCCAGAACTGCAGCTTCCTGGCCTTCAGGGCTTGACCCACAGCAGGATAGATGTCCAGCTTCAGGTACTGCTCATCATGGATCAACTCAGGCCAGTAGGGGAGACCCTCACTGTTGGGGTTCCTGTGAGTATGTCACCAATAGGGAAGGGTGAGGTCACTCTCATTCAAGGCGTGATCATCCCTTGATTTGGGTCAGAGCAGTGTGTGAGTAGGCCAAGGGCCTGAGGGTGCAGGAGGACTGGTGTATACCAGTGGTGATGTAGAACACAAAGGACACTCACTAGCGTCTCATCCATATAAACCAAGGGAAGCTATCTAGTTTTGTATCTTTCTCTGAGAGGGAAAATCTAAAGAACAGTACTACAATACTGTGACTCACACAGCAGGTCTCTGTGGGATGAGAAGAAACTAAATCTAGGCAGTATCTGCTTTAGTGTGCCCCAAGCTGGAGAAGATTATGGTGTAATTAAGATCCTCCATATGCTAATGAGACACATCCACATAGGAGCCCTGGATGGAGACCCAACCATAAAGAGGTTGAGGGAGGGACATGTTCTCACCCATGTCTTGCAAAGTTGGCCCAGTACTTCATCATCCTCCTGTTCAGCAGCTTCTCCTCCTCAGTGAGTTCAACTGCAGACAAAAGCAGACAAAGATTCAAGTCCTAGCTACCTCATGGAGGTGACAACTCATATTCTACTATAGCAGCTATAGCCTGACCCTGATTTCTAGGTCTAGTTTAAACTCTTCCATAAACATTCAGAATCCATCTGTGCCTCTCCTTGAATCCTCTCAGGTTCACTTCCACCCTAGTGTGCTCTCATTCCTTCTAGCACAAGATAGACAAAGAAGGTTCATATTCTTACTCTGGTAGAGTTTGTATTGGTTGGTGGGTTTTTTGTTTTGTCTTTTTTTTCTCCACCTTCGAAATGGTGACACCTACTGGATCCTGTTTTCTCCCAGAGATTCAGTTTTTTCAACAGCACTGAGAGCTCAGTCTTCCCTCAGGAACTCATCAGGGACTCTATTCAGCTCAAGGAAAACAAGGATGACTCACCATTCATGCCCCAAAGGTGGGAGCCAAAGACAAAAGGAATGTGTTCACCATGGTCAGCCCTCACGTGGGACGGCCTGACATGCTTGATGTAGCTTGGTTGATGATTGAACTCATAGAAGTAGACAGGAGCATGGGAACCTGGGAGTGAGGACACATGCTGACATAATGATTTCACACATGAAGCTTTTCTACCCAACCTTTGGTGACAAGAAACCTTGCTCTAAAGTTATCTGGAATCAGAGTTGAGCGGCAAGCTCCAGGCTGGGGCATCGGCTATGGGAAACTTCTTAAACAGTAATGCTGGCACTCCCAGATGAGCAGTTTTGACAAGACACAAAGAGTAACTAGCTATTTTCTCCCATCTAGTCCCAAATAAGGCATCACTCTTTTACACTAGACATAAGGAATTACTGAGGTAAGTGTCCTCAGGTGCCTGGTATCAGATAGCTGATGAAGATGTGGGTCGGGCCTGTACACAAGAGCTGTCATCTGGCGCTCACAGCTCTGAGCTTCCTCTGCCCTTGGTCTTGTTACAGATGTACTCACGCTGATAATTTGCTACTTGGAGTGCAGGGATCACAAACATGAAGTCCTCCATCAATTCTCTGAACTGTGCTTGCAGGGTCTGGGGGTCCTCAACATCCCCCATGTATTCTTTCATCAGAAGGTTACTAAATTCAGGAGGCAGCATCTACATCAGAAGGTATTAGGGAGAGTGATGTAGGACAGGTTCTTGGGTAGATAGACAGAAGCCTCTGAGTAAGGAATATGGCCAGGGATGAGACAGGGTATGGGGGAAAGGTATGAGCTTTGGGGTGAGTCCATACAGAAACACACACATAGACTGACTTTTATCTCTGGGTGTGGCATCAGAGAAAAATTTATGGGAACCCTTTTTATCAGGACAGGAGCCAAGGTCTCTCACCATGTGTGATGCTCTGCTCTTCAGAACAGCTGGCAGGGTCTCTCTGGTTATGTTCTTTATGACATGGTCAAGGCCCATGAACTGGGAAGTAGAGGAGAGTCGTAAGTATAGGATGGGTTGTCTCTAGATCAAAGTATCTCTGAGTTCCCGCCACCCACCATTTGATTTTAGGCTCCCAGGGGCTTAGAACCAGGTCTCACCAAGGGTATTCCCCAACCACACTCGTCACTGTCAACACCAATGATGCTGGGGACAGGGTGAAAATCCCCAGAGGCCAACAGCTCCCGAGGGTGCCTAGGAAAGAACGTCCCATCCACCACAGCAGGGATCATAGTGAAGACCTAAGGGGCACTAAGAGTCAGTGCTGAAGATCAATCACATAAATATTCTGATGCCCACTGATTATCCACATGATTTTCCCATTTCCTATCTCATCCAAGAATGCTATGCTCACTCCAGAAGAAAATGAACCTCAAAATTAGCCCCTTTGTTTTTTTTTTTTTTCTGCTCACAGTATTTAGTTAAGAAGAGACAAGTTAACTGGTTCAACTAGTAAGTACTAGCCATCCCACATGCTGGTGATCAGATCCTCCAAGTCATACAATTCTTCCAACCTGGTTGACAGTCAAAATCTCTTCTAAAGTCTTGCCTCGTAGGCAGTATACCAGAGCCTCTGAATCCTTGGCCTCACATCCTGAAAGGTTGGTTACCGTCTGTAAACGAAAAATACACTGGTTGGCTCATCTCTACCAGCAAGGAGCAGAGTTTCCTTGATTCCAAGTAATTATCATTGCCCCTAAATACCACATCCTGCTGTTTGCTGTATATAAAAGGACTTAAGTGGAATTGTTCACATTATTTTTTTGCTCAGAGTTGACAGTTGGGAAAAGGGATCATTCTACTCGTGTATTTGTTTTCTTGCTGCCGTTCTGTTTGTTTGTTTGTGTGTGTGTGTTGTTCATGTGTGACAATAGGTATGGTGTACCACATTTTGCTAGTGAAGTTCAGAGAACACCCTCAGGTGTCACTTGTCACCTTACCCCCTGTTTGCATTTGTCTATAATAGCTTAGCTGAACTATGACCTTCCAGGGATTCTACTCTTTCTACTTCCCATCTCTGCATAGGAGCACTGGGCTTACCAACACCACCTCTAGTCTTTTGTGGGCTCTGGGGATTTGAACTTGGGGCCTCACACTTGCACAGCAAGCCTGTGATTTTTTTCTTTGCCAACTTAACACAAGCCAGGGTAGTCTTGAAAGAGAACTTCAATGGAGAAAAGACCTCTATCAGATTGGCCCATAGGCAAGTCCAGGCATTTCCTGATAATTGACTGATGGAGGAGGCTCCATCATATTGTGGTCAGTGCCACCCACGGACAGGTGTCCTGAGCTGCTTAAGAACTGAGGAAGCCATGGGTAACATGTCAGTAAATAGGGCTCCTCTCCAGCTTCTGCTTCAGTTCTAGGCTCTAACAACCTGCTTGAATGTCTACTCTGACTTCCCTTCAAGATGGACTATAAACTGTAAGCTGAAGTTAACCTTTTCCTCCTCAAGTATCTATTATTGGTCATGGTCTTTCTCACAGCATTAAGAAACAAACATATCTGTTTTTGCCAGTGGTGGAAGCCACTGTACACAGTTTTTATGTCACATAACATGCCCATCACACATAAAGCAGAGGGGAGGTGGAGTCTAAGTTTTACACCTTTCAGAAATTAATGGGAAGAAATTATTTCTCATAATCCTTGCTTATCCCACTTAAGAGATTAACAGAATACTACAGGCAAGGACTGAGGTAGCAAAGTAAGGACTGGTATTCATGAGGACACTCACTGTGTGCACCACCTCAGGTGTGTCAGAGATAAGGTCAGGCAGCAGGGCCACTCCACTCTGCATGATGGCTCTGTGGAAGAGTCCTTTGGACATAGGGGACACAACAAGTGAAGACACACTTGTTCCTCCTGCTGAAGCACCAAAAATGGTGACCTGGCCAGGGTTGCCTCCAAAGTAGGCAATATTCTCCTGGATCCAGCGTAGGGCAGCCACTTGGTCCAAGTAGCCCCAGTTGCCTGTAGCATGTTTGTCTCCAGTGCTGAGAAGTGACAGGAACAGGAATTACAGGTCTATCTATGCTCTACTCAGACCCTATGGTCCAGCCCAGTTCCAGGCTTACCTGAAGAAGCCAAGGACACCCAAGCGATATTGGATAGCAACAATTACTATATCCTCAATAGCTGTCAGTTTGGATCCATCGTTCATGGAAGCCATTCCTACAACCAGTCCACCACCATGAATCCATACCATCACCTAGAGAAATCAACAGAGATACCAGGGGGCACAACCAGGCCAAGCTCCACTAGACTGCCTACTGGATGATCATCTGCTTTGCCTCTGTGCAGACCAATACACACAGATCTCCTCAGGATTTCAGGACATGGTCTACAAATGAGGTACTCTAGGACTACAAACATATTTCCATTTCCACTTCCTCATCAGGAAATCTCAGCCTAGATTAATGGTTCTACATCACAAGACATGACTTCATCACTCCCAGTCCCATCAAAGTGGAGCACACAGGAGTGTCTCCATGTGCGTCTTTCCTGATTGCTAATCAGAAGGGACATCAGATCCCATTGGCACAACAGATAACCTGCAGCTAGGAATTTTGATGATGTCAATATGCAGCCCTTGAGCACCCTCCTGAGTGGGTCTACCAGGTTCAAATTGATAGAAGATTTTCTGGTTTAGTCAAAGACATAGAGCCTCTTATCTCTCAGAGCACCATAGCTCTGAGTCACACACACAGGTTTAAGCAGCTCAACATGGCTGGGATCACCTTCTTGACCCCAGTAAGGAAAGACTACTAATCAGGGTCTAAACTAAAGAGGATCTCAGAATTACTTTTTCCTTTCCAATATTCCAGAGAAAGAGACATCTTCTCTCCCAGCTGACCATGTACTGATACTCACAGGCAAGTTAGATCCTTCATGGGCATGAGCTGGTGTGTAGATGTTGAGGTACAGGCAGTCCTCAGACATAGACGTAGGAGGTACGATCAGATTCATCTCTGCAAAGAATGTTTTCATCACATCAGTCTGTGGACACCTGGAGAACGTGAAAAAGAGTTAGTCCAAGATACGTGATGATCAATCCTAAATCTTAGTCTGAATTTTGTCTCAGCCACCTTCAGCTACTGCTTTCCATGATTTCCTACTAACATCTGACCCTTCTCTGAAGTCCCTTCCTAAGAGGGTAAAGGCCACCAGCTCTGTGGAAATGGGAATAGAGCAGTACGTTTAGGGAGGCCTCTGATTGGGTAGTAACGCCCTGAGGGCTAGAATATGGGGACTGCTGCCATCTGTGAGATGGTCGCCTTCCTGTACCATCCTTTCTGTGCTACTTAAATCCCGGTGTGGATGACTGACACAATGTGGAATCACCTGGGAAAAGAAACAAAATGAGGGATGATCTAGATCAGTCTCATGTTATAGTGATGGTCAACCATAAAATTATTTCACTGTTCCTTCATAACTATCATTTTGCTACTGTTACTAATAGTAATGCAAATATCTATCTGCTATGTGACCCCTGGGGGGTTGTGACCCAGGCTGAGCACCATTGACTTAGATCTTGTGAGCTTGCCTGTGGCCCATTATCTTCATAATCATGAAGACAGAAATTCCCGCCTGTTGTATGAAGCACCATTCCCTGGAAGGGGCTTCTGAAGTGTGTAAGAATGGACAGAGTGAGTAGCGCATTAGCAGGCATGCATGTGTCTGTAGTGATAGGTAAGTGAACCTTTATGATTCGCTTTAAGTGAAACGTATAGTAAAGCCTCTGTGTCTGGCATTGGGAGAAATGAGTCAGCAAATCCCTTTGCTTTGTTTGGGTTAGTCAGCAGAGGCTGAGAAATAGTTCGGAGACTGTTTAAACCTTGAAGAGATGTTGTTTCTCTGGACCCGGAGTTCTTGCTTTTGATTATGACTTGCTATAATCAAAAGGGACTATGATTTGTGTGCACTGTCTTATCTAATGGGCAGCAAGTGCAAGATGACTCAAAGTTTGCCACCTCCAATTAACCTTATACACACACACAAACACACACACACACACGTGTGTATATATATATATATATAAAATAACTGGAGTGAGCTAGCTGAGAATCAGCCAGTTCCTGCAGAAAGTGAAGTTTAGTGTCTTGTTGAGCTTTCTTTCTACCGCAGCACCTATGAGCCAACATCAAACAAGATAATACCCCTTAGGCCCTGTTCCTGTTTAGGGCTGGGATCAGCTCCCTTAAACTTCAGCCTCTGTAGTTTTCCTGGAATTGTGACCCATAGTAAAATCTTTCTTCACTACATTGGTTTTGTCAGGATCCTCGATCACAGCAACAAAAAACAAACTACAATACTCGGGTGTTGGGGCTCTGTGCCCACACGGGATCTATAGGAATGAACGGACAACACCATAGGGTAGTGAGACATTCTCCATCTCACTCCAGACTCTCACGGTCCCTCCTTCTTCCACATTGTCTCTTCACAGTGGAAAGCAGGTGCACATGTTCCTTAGCCAATGGCACCTGAACGGTGGATGGTCACAGTGACTGTGAAGAATGGCCTTAGTCTCGGCTCCTCACTGCAGAACCTGCAGCTAAGTCCCTACAGGTTCCAAGCTCTGACCCAGGATCCTGGCACAGTTGTTCCTCTCTAATCCTTAGCACATTCCTCTGAAAACTGCATGGGAGACGCCCTCAGGACAGACAGAACACTGCTATAGAGCTGAGACAGAGGAACCACAGCAGTGTGGCCTAGAGCTCAGGCCTGAAGTCCCCTGGGCCCCAGAACTTACATGGCTGGAAAGGAGGTCCCATCTCTCACACCACTCCACGGCTCAGGGGGCTCAGGGGGTGCAAAGCGCAGTGGTCCCACAGGTGGCTTGGCAAAGGGGATCCCCAGGAATGTGTGAACACCAACATCGCTGTCTTTCACATGGACGAGGCTTCCTCTCACCTGCCCTGTGTGTGTGTTCCTGATGGGGCTGGCTGAGTCCTGGCCTGTGGGTGGAGAGAAGTCATAAGTTGTCACCACACTCGGGAATTCCTACCTCGTTGTCACAGAGTTACACGGGGAAGGTAACTTGGGTCCTCTCGGTTTGCCTGTGGAATGCGGAGATGAGTACCTGGGACTGGAAACCTTGCCCATTGGCCCTCTTGAAGATTGACAGGGCACTTCTGTAGTCAACAAAATGACAGGTTCAGAGCCACTTGAAATTAGGAAGGAATTGTTGTCACTATCCAAGGTCAGTTGGAGCTCTAGCCACAACCACGTACAGAGGAGGGACATGTCCCTCCTGTTCTTCTGTCCCTTCTGGCTCCTTAAGTACAAGGTAACCTTAGACATCCCTGACACTCATGTGCTATATGTAGCCCATCCTGTGGGCTTTAGTGTGGGCATTAGAAGGCTCACAAATCCACACTTTCATCTGTCACCTCCACCAGCTCCTCCCTCTCTGGTGCCTTCCCTCCCAGGAGCTCAGCCTCCGACTCTGCAGAACTGGGCAGCTCTGGCCCTGGTCCCTCTGCTCACCATGCACGTGGAGGAGGAGAAGCAGGAGCCCACAGGCCACAGCAGACAGCCAGCCAGGAAGTCTATCGAGTGGCATGGTTGAATGCCAGGGCTAACTCTGTGCTGCTACAAGACGACAGTCTCACGACAGCAGGAAGCAGAGAAGGTAGGACTTGCCTAGGCAGGAAATTTATACCTTTCTTAGGGCAGGTGCAAAGTTCTTATTGCAACACAGCTGATAGGGTAGAAACCACTGGGAGCCAATAGCCACCAGGCAGGGCAAAATCACTCTGCAGTTTCTCCTCCTTCTCTGGACTCTGAGAGAGACGGAGCATAGCATCTGAAGTCCTTCTGGAATCAGGATCCCTGACATGAACTTGGAGTCACCATGATCTCTGGCCCTTTAACACAATGTGGTATGGGAGTGAAGATTAGGGAGCAGAAAGTTAATAGAAGCCACGGGGCTTCTGTGAGTAGGAACACACTCAAGATGTCGCATGTGGAGAGAAGTGAAAGGGCAGGAGCTCTAAGTGTGACCTCATCCTCATGACACCTCTGTGCTGCCAAGACTCATAGAGTGGTGAGAGCACCCTCAGGGTCCCTTGTCCCTTAGGGTGGTCTTCGGATATGAAGGTCCCCTTCATGTTAGGTCATGCTGGTTTCTTTGAAAGACATTGAAATTCTGGTTTCTCTCTCTCTCTCTCTCTCTCTCTCTCTCTCTCTCTCTCTCTCTCTCTCTCTCTTTCTGTGTAGCAACACTTCAATAACACCGTCAGGCCATAATGCAGTGATTCTAACCTTTCTAATGCTGTGACCTTGTAATACAGTCCCGCGTGCTGTGGTGAGCTCCAAAACATAAAATTATTAGTTACCACTTCATAACTGTAATTTTTCTGTTATGAACCATAATGTAAATATCTGATATGCAACCCCAAAAGTTGTCCTGACACACAGGTTAAGTAGCACTGCTCTACTGGAAATGCCAGGCCTCCCTCTTTCTTTCTTTCTTTCTTTCTTTCTTTCTTTCTTCTTTCCTTGTCGCTGAGTTGGTGCTTAATCTCATCTCTCTCTCTCTCTCTCTCTCTCTCTCTCTCTCTCTCTCTCTCTCTCTCTCTTTCTCCCTTCTGGTGTTGAAGATTGGCATTACAAAATCATCATTTTGGTGATGTCCTATGGCTGGCCTTATAGGCAATGTAAAAAGTAATGTCCTAGGATGGCCTGGGTTTGTCATATGCAGGGGCCTTGTGAGCATCAGGATCTAGAAGATGGGGGATAGAGCCCTTTAATGACAGAGAAAATGCTTTAGGTGAACACAGAGACAGACTGAGAACATTTTATCACCTTTGTACAATGGAATATATTATAAGAAAAGTTTTTAATACAGGGCCTAAAAAGCTTAGGGACAACAATAAAGTTACAATATAAGTCAACAATGTGGGAGATGAAGTAGAATGATTGTGTCACGAAGAATCAAAGAGTTCTTGGGATCCGTAAAAGTTAGAAATAGCCTTCCTTATATGGACAGGGAGATGGGAATAAGATGCTCTTCTCCTGGACATTTCTGGACCTTCATATGCTCCCATTCCACTTCCAGGACACACCTGGAAGTCAAACGGATCCACGGGTGTCCTGAGCATGAGACTTGAATCTCATAGCATCTCCAGGTCCTGGGGGATGGGGAAAAACTTCAACATCCTCCATCACACACACATACAACACACACACACACACACACACACACACACACACACACACATAATGACACAGTATCATCTGTGCCAGCACTGACATGGGAGCTGCCTGGAGAAGCACAGCCGCGACTGCACACAAAGTCCTGGCCTGCTGTGCTGGGGACCAGGAAATGAGGGCATGACAGAAGTCACCTAAGGACCTAAAAGACCCACAGGCTCTCAGTCTGGACATTGGGTGAGGATAAGTGTTTGGACACCATGGGTTTGTCGACTCTTCTTTACCTCAGAAAATGTCCTGCTTTGGATGCTGTGCAGCCCTGATCCTCTCTGCCTGGGAGTGCAGGGAGGGGTCCAGTAGACCCTCCTCCTGCTGTGTGTGCCATCTCTACAGCTCCACCTCCCTGGCACCTCCCCTCCCACAGCACCACTTCAACACTGCAGAGTCCGGCAGACCTGATGAGTTGCAACAAGAAAAGTTAAAATCCCCAAATTGGCCAAGTGAATCTTCTGCTGCAGCCCCTCCCCCATCTGACATCTGACCTGCAGGAATCAGCATCTTTGGTGCCACCTTTGTGGATGAGGCCAGGGCAGCAGCCACTCACAGGCACCAGAGAGTGACTTCCAACATCTTTCTCAGTCAAGTGCTCACCCTGTCCTGTGACTTGCTGCCTGCACACAGTGGCCTTCCAGACAGCATCTTTGTCCATGCATCTCACTGAGGGCTCCTGCCTGTGATGACTGACAGTTATTGCAACAGACAAAATCTATGGAAACGGTCCTGCTTAGAGCCTGCCCACACCCACAGTGCTTTACCTCACCATGAAACCCTGTGTAATGGAGTGAAATGTCCTGTGACTGGAAGCTATGAAGTCATATCCAGACCAGGAGTCATTGGTGAAAATCAAATTAAGTGAACAACTTTCTTCTTTTGTGCTTTTTGTTTTTGTTTTGATTATTGAGACAGAGCATTGTATGTAGTCCAGACTGGCCTGCTATCTCAGTTTCTGGGTTTCTAGGTGTATCACCTAGAAAATTTACATCTAACACATCCCTTCTTAGTAACCCTGGGCATCGTCTGCAAGCTCCTGCCAATGTAATGTTCTCAAGGATGATACAGGCCAGGACAAGAGAGAAGAGGACAGGCACACTCCATCCCTTTTACAGTTATCTCTGACTCTGAGCCCAAGAATCCAGACAAAGAATACTCCAAACAGTAGCCATGAGTGAGTCAGGCAGACCTTCCTGCTTGGAGAACCCTGGAGACCTCCCAGAGTCTGATGACCCACAGCAGGGGTCACAGGTGAGGTGAGTTCAGTGGCTCTGACTGGGGAGGCTCAGGAAGAGATCAACGAAGTTTACACTATCAGAGTGCAGAGGCCCAGGAGGAGGTCAATGGGGTCCACACTAGGAGTGTGTAAATATTGCACACACACTGGGCATGAAGCTCTTTCTGGTTCAACTTTTGATAAAAGCCTGAGAGTTGCTGATAAGCCCAGAGCACAAATGCCCTTTGCTCTGAAAGCCTGCACCAGTGTAGGTGTATGGTGAAGGAAACCCCGGGACCACTAAGGTCCACCGAGGCCTGTGGTACTCCAGGAACTTCTATATGCCTAACAAGTGTACCTTTTAAAGGATGCCAAACCACTGTCCTCTCCTAGGGATAACACATAGATATCTGGCAGCATGAATGTATTATATTATTATTATTCCAAAAGTCCAGGAGCAGCTGCAGCTACAATGCACCAAGGAAAACATCCCTCTGCTCCTTTATCCCCTGACCTGCAGGTCCAGCACAACCCAGACCCCATACTTCTGGGCTGACTCCTCAGTATGGATGATCTCCTCCTGAACCAGTGTTGCTTCGCTTCGGAGAAGGCTACTCTGTGGGCTTTGGGAGGGGTATTTGGAATTAGTCTCTAATTTCGCAATGTGGTTTCTGGGGTTGAACTCTGGCCCAGCTTAGATATAGACACCTTTCCCTGCTGAGTCATTTCCCAGGCCCCGGTAAGGGAATTTGGAATCACATTTCCTACAATTTGTTCTGGCATGTCTATGAGTTACTCCCTCTCTGTAATCTCAGTCTCTGACTCTGAAGAACTTTCCAGTTCAATCTAAGGTTCCCTATGTCCCTTTAAAATTCTCCCCTGGGAATTCCGCAGCAAAGGGGGATTAAGAATTGTAGCATCCAGAGGGATCAAGGACATCATAAGAGAAACCACAGAATCATCTAACCTGGGTTCACAGGGACCCACAGAGACTAAACCAACAACCAGCGAGCTGGCACAGGACTGGCCTAGGCCCTCTGCATATATGTGACAATCGTGTAGCTTGGTCTTCTCATGTGACTCCTAACAGTGGAAGCAGGGGCTGTCTCTGACTCTTTTGCAGATTTTGGGACCCCGCAACTCATACAGTCACCTTGCTCAGCCTTAGTACATGGGGAGATGCTTAGTCTTACTGCAACTTATATGCCCTGTTTTGTTGATATCTGTGGGTGGACTGCCCTTTTCTGAATGGAAACACGGAGGAGGAGGAGATTGTGTAGGGAAGAGGGGAGATGTGGGGGAGGGATTGGGAGGAGAGAAGCAGCAGGAAACTGATGTCAGAATGTAAATTAATTCATTAATTAAAAATTCTTGAAAGTAGTAGCAGTAATAATAAAATAAATTTAAAAAGAACCTTGCCCTACATGAGAAGATGGAGAAGTAGGAGGTCCTAGACCACAACATTTAACCTGTAAGGAAGTCAGTCCCGTGGCATGATGAACTCCCAGGCCTGAGTTTGTGCTACCTGTGTGGGGTGCACAGTGTGTCACTGACAGGAAACAGAATATGGGGACCTGGTTCAGACAGGAATTTGGATCCAAGTGGAGTAGGAGGAAAGTTTGCTGGGACAGGGAAAGGTCTGAACTGAACTGGCAAAGTAGAGGTTACGAGAGTCAGTGGCAGCAGATAGGGCCAAGCCAGGTTAACCATTCCTGCTTCACCTTTAGCCTCTGTGGAAGGCACAGCAGGGCTCCCAAGGTCCTTCTAGGACACCAGCACCCCTCCCTTTAACCTGGGGTCACCACATTCACTGTCCTTCCAGCAACAAGGCCAGGGCAGGTGTTGGGGTGGAGGGGAGGCTGCAGAGAGCTGTAACTGGGAATATCAGGAGGGCGTCTCTGGTAGACGATGCTGAGGACGTCACAGGCGGAGGATGGGATGCAGCTCTGGGAAAGGTGATATGGATCAAAGAGAACTGCATGAGCATGCCCGCCACCCCGAAAACTGCTCACTGCTTCCAGGACTTACAGTTTCCTGAGTCCACATTCAGGGTCCCTCATCCCTTGCAGTTGTGATTATAAGTCTAACATCACCCTCCCTGTTCCATAGCTGTTTCATTGAAACACACTGCCAACCTGGCACCTCTGAAGGACCTACCCCCTACCCACTCCACCTCCATACTGCCTTACTCTCATGGCCAGCTCTACAGGGATCAAGTTCA